TTTAATCACCCAATGATTCACATGAGGTGTGTCGGAGCAGGGAAACATTTAAAACATGCAGGATAGCGGCCCTCTAGGACCAAGACTGGACACCCCTGCTCTAGCCTTTGCCTAAGAATAATACAATCACAATTAACTATTTACACTAATTCTATGTTAAATGTATGTAAAATGTCTTAGTCTTGATTGGGGGCGTAACATTTCTTCCATGAGGCGAGACAGGATTCCACGTCAACAAAAAGAAGACGATTATTTAACAATATTTTTAGGAAAAAAAAGCTTTTGCCACAAACTCAACTGGGCGGCTTCTCTCCTGATTTGTCATTAATTTGTTCAAATTCATTTTCACAAAAGGCTGAAATTAAACCTTTTTCTATAAACAATGTATACTGATAATTTCATCAGACAAATTCAAGGTTTGTTTTGGTTTACAAGACAGTTTTGAACTCTCTGAGAAATCTTGGGATGGTTTAATCTCATTACACCCCTGGTCTTGACGGACCATGGCTGCACAAGCTCTACTGATTTAAAAAAAAACTGTTCTTTAATAGTTTTGTCTTGTTATTTTTGATCTTTAAAACACTTAACAGCTGTTCCTGCATGAGGAGTCGGGGATCAATGATGGCTGTGACGTCTCCTATGCTTTAAAGTCATTTAAGTTACCGGATGAGGAGCTCTTTAATATGACAGATTAACAAATAAAGAGCTTAAGAAGATCAGGGGCATGCCTCATCACCACTCAGACTCAGGTCTTATAGCTCACAAAAAAATCAAGAGTCCTGCTATTATCTGCGTTTGCATCCTTTGTTGCTCTGATGAGCCTTTAATGGAGACGACGTCTGTACAAAACATAAAAAAATAAAAACCTGCACGGACACAGAGACATTAAAATATCTGCACTGCCTGAGCCTGTTCTGTTTAAATAATATCAGTAATTTTTAATTGTTTCATGTTTGCAACTGATTGGCTGTAATACACATCTGGGCCCCATTAATTATGGCGTTCTGGAGAATATTCAGGTAAGGCGGGTTAAATGAGTGGTGACAGATTTTAATCAATGCCATACTTCTAATGAAATGCAATCTAGCAGAGCCAGAATTGTTTTTAAAATATTAATTTCACTTTAATGGTCTGCATTAGGCAATTCTGCCTGGCTTAATAAACTTGAAATAGAATTGAGAAAAGTCAATAAGGAATTCAATTACCTTCAACCAACAACATGAAAAGTGCTGGGCTGTCTCAAAGCACCCCCAACCCCCTCGGTCCTTTTCAACAACCTCAAGGACGTCATAACCTTTTCCTCCCTCTCCGTTCCAACTTTATTAATAATGCCAACGTGAAATTGAGGTTTGTTTGCGCTGGGAACAGCTTTGGAAAGAGAAAAGCAGTCAACAAGTTTAGGCTTTAGTGTTTTTGTGGGAGGCTGCAGCAACTGGACAGCCAGGACATCCCTGGGGGGCCAAGCCGGATGAGAAAAACGACTTTGGTTCAGTGTCCAGTCGACATCACCTCTGAATACACGCACACATAGCCACACACGGACCAGGGTGGACGTTCTTCCCGTGAAGGATTTGAGGACAGCCGTTTGGACGTGGTGTGACGGTTTGGATGGGATGGAGAAGCCCGTGCACACGCACACTTTAAGCTCCACTCCTGCCATGCACGGAGAGGAAGCGTAAACCACAGATGTATGGACGGAGGCGAGGAGTGGAAGATTTGGAAGGGGTTTGGCCACGTGTCCATTTCTGACTCGTCACGTAGCGTCAGACTTTTAAAGCAAGCGTTCTCTTCCTGCACAAGCCTAGAGCCTGATTAAAAACCACCTGGGAACAATCTGTTTCCAACATAAGTCCCTCACAAGCACGGGCTGGGAAACTCTTCCGTACCTCGTCTTAGCTCTGAATTAATGACAAACAAGACGTGCATGCATCCTTTGGAAAGCTGGCTAACTCTAGCTCATGTAAAAGAACCATAAAAACAACCAGTGGAGGTAAATGTCCAAATGCATAAAGAAATAATTCAGAAATGACTAAAAACAGGTATCATTTGTGCTGGAAAATGGATATTAAGATTTGTAAATCTGGGATTTAAACCAGGATTGCGTTTGTACACTGGTGTAATAAGTACTATGTGTCATCATTGTATGTTCCCATACGATGGAGACATTAGTTCTCTGCATTTAACCCATTGCACCTGGGATACAACCAGGTGGATCAGTGGGCAGCTATGTAAGATGCCCGGGGAGCAATTAGGGATTAGGTGTCTTGCTCAGAGACGCCACATGTGGGAATGCCTGGGGATCGAACCTGGGACTTTTGGGTCCTGAGTCGGCTGCCCCACCTCTACCCCATCCCATGAAAAATGCATAATTTTACAAATAAAAGGTACTCGCTGCAAAGTCATTAAGACCGGTAAAACATATAAACAAAGCTATTAAACATTTTTCTCATATTGATGGTTGCTGTTTCCCTAAATTAAGCTTTTAAGTTAAGTTTGTAAATGACTGCTAATTACTACATGCACATGCATTTTTTTTACCTATAAAACAGCCGAAGTGACTGAAAATATACAGTATATGTTACATTATTAGTGTTTAGCGTATATCTTAGATCCTTGTATACTGTTTCTTTTTATACTTTGTATTTTTGCTATTTTTGTGTGTAACTGGGACCTTGTGTACACAATTTCGTTCCGCCTCATGTACCACATGTGATGTGAATGACAATAAAGATACTTGAAACTGGGTCAGCAATGGTAATCTCCATAAAAGAGACATTTGGGATTGAGAATCTGATGATTTTTATGTGTAGGTGCGTATTTAAACAGTTGAGTGAAGTATGACTGGAGATAAACTGATTCAAATCATAAACATTTTGCGCATTAGACCAGAGTTTAAAAAAAAAAAAACCCATTGAGACAGAAGTTTCGTACAAGCTGCGATTGTTTTGAACACCTAACTCTGTATTTTTGGCACTTCACCACCTCGCTCGATCCCCAATATTCATTCTTGACAGCTGCCGTAACCGTTCTCTTGAATTTTGCTTTTAGCAGCAGATTCTCTTACATTTGCACCTAAATGCTTTCTTTGCGATTCTACGCTTGTTTGATTCCACCATATGTGACCCGTCGCATCGAACTGAGGATTTAGTCAAAGTGTTACTAATACTGTACAATAAAAATGAGATATACAGTAGACCAATTTTCCCAAGGTTATCACAATTAGCAAGACAAACCAAGCCGTATCTTTGAAACAACTCATGCTACCATGAGTGAAATGCAGCTTAAAAGCCAGGAGTCTAAAAAAAAATGCTTTATTTATTTTTACCAAATCTGACTTAATCCCTGCTTTGATATGATGGGTTAGGGTTACATGGTCAGCCTGATTCAGTTTAGTCATGCGACTCAATCGTTCACGTGTTATTGGTGGATTTAGCCGTCTTACGTTTATTTCCATTTATCTAGAAAACCACTGTGCTAAACTATTTCAAACGGCACCATTTGATATAGTTCCTGGTCATTTCAGACTTTGCCACGAGTACCTTTTTTTTTTTTTTTTAAACCCACAAATCTGGGCAGATCAGGATTAAGTCCGGATTGATAATTCTGTTTGTCCATATTCAGTTGGTTTGTAAAGAGCCAATCAAAACAGGTCCAGGATCAGGTTGGGAAACAGCAATTTACTAATCAATCCGCTGTCCTGGGAACAGAGGAAGAAGCAGAGAATGAAAAAGATTAAGGAGACTTGAGCCCAGTTGTGAATGCACTTTGACGTGCTCAATACAACCGTATGGTTCCTGCATCACACAGCCTTTCCAGTTACCGGTAACTTGAGACATGGCACCTCTATTCTTTCTCCTCCTCCTCAGGGGCTACTGGTTGACGAAGATAATACCAGCCGAGGCGTTTGAGACTTATATTAAAATGACCCTCTGTGACATTATACTGCCAGAGAGGTCCTGGCACTTTAATAAAGTCTAGATGCCATTTATTTATAATGCATGGAAAGAGAGAGGGGGTGAAAAACTAAAACAAATGACATTCAGCATGCAGAGCCAGGCAAGTGCTATCTGTTTGAGTCTGAATAAAGTAAATTAATATGCCCGCATCACAACAATATAGCCTCAAGCTATTGCTTATCACCTCACGCCAACCCCCGCCAAGAACAATGTTAGTCAACGGTGGCTGAGTGACTCTCTGCAGGAAGATCGGAATCAGAAATGAACACTTGGCACCACAGTCGGGGATGGACGATGAAGGGTGGAACAAGAAGCAAAGCAAAGCATCAGGCATTCATATAGTGTCGTCTTTGCATACTGTTTACTTACTAACTGGACCAATGCTATTAGGAATACCTGCAACAGAAGAAGAGAAAGAGACAGCTGTAATGAAATCGTAACACTGACTTTAAGGCAGTAATTGCAACATATTTCCTTTGGTATAGAGGTATTTTCTTAGCCCTTCCATTCTTCTTTAATCTTGATGAATTGTGCACACTTCAGTTAACAGGAAAATTAAAGTAAAGCACATCCTTTGATTTGAAAAAGCATCTTGCTGCTTTTTCAGCTCTGGTTTTCTCCACTGTTTCTCCTCCAAAGCTCCTAAACTCAACACCTCTCAAAAATCCCTCTCAGATGGCATCGTATTTGCCAAACTCATGCCTTTCGACACCAAATCAGGACATGTTTGATCCTGCATGCCCTCCATCGAGCAGACTCGAGCCGGGCGGCCACAGAGCAGATAATTCTATCTGTCTCGTCCCCATGGTGACCAGATCGCTCTCACACCGGGTCGTTCATCTGTCTGCAGATCTGATGGAACTGAGACATTCACACGTTTCTTTCTCCATCTGAACCGACCACTGACATATTGGTTTTAATTGGGGGTCTAATAAATTCTCACAGTTGCGGTGGCGTCAGAGACACAGACAATGTCTTTTTATGTTTTCTTCACTGTCTGAGTTCATCAAGGGCGAGTGAACGAATCCGATGGTGGACGCTTTTGGTCAGCAATGGTCCAAAAAGGAGTTTTTCTGATCGTTTGGATGGAAACCTGTTTTCACGTTTGCTTGCCCATAACAAGCCGGGATGCTCAGGAGAACGAACAACCTTTTCTCAATGGGAAGGAAAGACCACGCCTTGACACATCAGTTTTCTGGTCAAATTTGACCGTTTTAGAAGGTTTTCTTTGAAAAGGGTTGTTTCTTTCATCTGACATAAACATTTCGAAATGTGTCCAGACAAGTCATCTAAACATTCTAAGTCTGAGATAATTTTATGACTTTCTGTTTTATTCAACTTTGTTGTACCTGCGGAGTGGTTCCTATCAGAATATTTCCCTAACAGCAAAATTCGTGCTCAATAATCAAAGTAAAATATCCAGCAAAGTTCAGTCCGGTCATCTGGACAGTTTCTTTTGTTTTTGTTGAGAGGCTTCGTCCTTCATCCAAAGGACTTCGTCAGTCTGAGGAGTTGCAACAAACTCAGTCTCCCAAGCAGCACACTCACATAGCGAACCAACCAGTTTGCTGGTGATAAGATGGTTTCTGGGGCCCGCCCTCTCCCCTGTCGACTCCTCTGAGGCAGCCATAGCCAAAGTGGTTCTATGGTTGAATAAACTCAGCCACAGCTGAGTTTGTTGCGGCTCCTTGGACTGATGAAGTCCTTATGATGAAGGATGAAACGTCTCAACAACAACAACAAAAAAAAAAGACCATCCAGATGACCTGACTGAACTTTGGTGGATTTTTCTACCAGAATCTTTCAATCACAAGACATTTTTTTTCTTACATAAAAACAAATCTTTACCAAGCAAAGTCTTTACCCCTAATAAAAATTGTTTTCTATCAGAATCTTTGTCTCCAGAAATCTATACCAAACGTAATTTTTCCCTGTGTGGATCTTTCCCAACTGGAATCGTTCTTCTACAGGAATCATTCCAAAACATAATCCTCCCCTCTAAATAATGTCTAAACACAAATTTTCCACCAAAGGACTCTTTCACATGCAAGCAGAATCTTCTCCATGCAATAATTATTTTCAAAAATATTTTCCTTCATAGAAATATTTCTCTGACAGAATATTCCTCCGCAGAAATCTGTCCTGTCCCCCATAGGAATCTTTTCTAAACAAATTCCTCCACCGAATTTTTACCTATCAGAATCTTCTCCTACAAGCCTGACTCTAAAAGCCACAATCTTGCTCCAACAGAATTATCCTCCTACAGGAATTTAATCATACATCTTGACTGACAAAACTAAAGATTAGATCCAATTTTGAAAAGACTTAAAAAAATGTCTCATAGTAATCTGGGTTGGGATTACAGGTGCAGCATGAGAATGGTTTTGTTTGCATCGAAGTGACAGGAGTTTCTGTGTTAAGACTGGAAATAGTGCATCCACGTCAGTGCCTCTTTCCTGTGGGAGTCCCACAGGGCTCGATTCTTGGATCCCTTTTGTTTTCACTCTATCTGGTCACTTTGGTGTCTATCCTGAGGAAACATGGAGTTTTATTTAATTGTTATGCTGATGATTGTCAGATTTATCTGCCCATAAAAACAAATAGTTCATGCACAATTCACGCTTTGTTAAAATGTCTTGATGACATCAAGGCATGGATGGCTTCAATTTTTTTAAGTTTCAACGATCAGAAAACTGAAATCACTGTGTTTAGCCCTAGCTCTGCTGCTGTCTCTGATCCTGTTAACCTGTACTCCCTTCAGTCAGCTGGACTATTGAAACACGCTTTATGACTCAGGTGAGTCAGACCTACAGGTTACAAAAAGACAAACGGATCCAAATTTGTCCTGCTCATGAGAAAACAAGTTTATAAACTCTATCAGATGTATTAAGGATTTTTTAAAATTAATGTTGGGGTGGTCACTGAAAATAAAAATGGCTCGTTTCTCCACCGCAGAGGATGCACACTTGCAGGTTTTTGGTGATAAAGCCATCACAAAATATCTCCAAGTTCCCTGCGGGGCACACAAGCATTTCTCCAGTGAGTTCAGGCGTTTGTGCATGCGGACTTTGATCAAACTGCTGTCATTCAGTCGCTCCGGCTTTGATCTCTGCCTGCCAGTTGTGTTTAGGATGCGAATATGTGAACTGCTGCCTGAGAGCTGTGAAGTGCAGGTGGCGGTGCTGACACATGGATCTCAGACCTCAGGGGGGTGGGCAGATGCTCAGCCGGGGACAGGAAGGACAGGACAAGGATAATGGCAGTCAGACATTGTTACACACTGGTACAACAGGACAGGCTTGTGCTTTTGCAACTAATGAAACAGCGTTATGGCCCACTGGGCCCAGGGGCCAACAGGAAGTATAACAAAGTTTAAAAAGTCGTTAGAATATTATTCATTTCATGCGCATGAAGCAACGATAAACTCCTTCTCAGCGAGGATTATTGCATGATTTTAGTTGATAAAACTAGATTTTTTTTTTTTAAGGTGCCAACATCCCTAGACTTTTTTCTCAGAAGCACATACAATGCCAGGCTGAATATGAAGTACACTTATATACTACTTTGTACATGGCACAGTACATACTTATAAAGTACATAGTATATACTTTATGCATAGGATCAGATGAGTAGAGTAGAGAAAACTGGGCAAAATGACACCAAGGAACAGGTGAGAGTGGGCGGGGCTGGAGCTGAGGAGCAGAGCTGAAGAAAAGCAATGCAAGTGACTCAAGACCCAAGATGATAAAATAAAAACTAATTTGAACGTAAGAGAACTAAAAAAAACACAGATTAAGACAAATACTTCCATAGGGGCAACCTCTTCTGATGGGACAAAAATAAATGAATTCCATTCCACAATTTACTAAGAGTCCACGGACCAGACACACCCTTCATTAAATTTCTTAGCCACCCCCCCCCCCCCACCACCACCACCAAAAAATGCTGGAATCCCAAATGCTTCATTCATAATGTAACACTAAAAATAAACATAAGAACTTTATCTATACCTGGAGCCAAAAATGAAGCAAATGGAGGTCTACCTCTGTCAAAAACACAATCTTTGGGAAACAACAACAACAACAAAGGAGAAGAACTCCATCTGAGCTACAGTAAGGCAAACTTAGCTAACTACAAGCCTCATGACATTTATTTAGATGGAAAATTGATTTGGAAATTTGACAAGATCTTGGCGAGTGAAGGGAGCTATTTTACCCACCACCAGATACAATGGAGGAGACAGGGGGTGGTTACATGGCTCCCATAGATTAATATTTGGTTGCCCCAATCATTAAAGGAAACTAAGCAATATAAAAACTAGAAAACAGTTTCCTCAAATGACAGGGCAGCTGGTTTGCAGAAGGTGGTGGCCATATTGGATTTTTCGAACGGAAGCTTCCTTAGGCCTAGATGCAGCCACACACCAAAACAAATGTTGCTACCTCACTTATTTGTCAAAGTATTGCACTCACAACATGCATGACTGGACGGATTGAGGGTAGTTCCAATTCCCACTTTTCCCTCTGCGACTAAGACGGGAGATAATTGAGAGGTATGACGAGTTAAGAATTAATGGAGTTGTAAGGGTTTTGGTCAACTCCAACTAAAAGTATTTTTAAGGTTTGATACTGCTGAATCCATCTGTTGGTCCGTGAGGCGGACACATTGTCCAGTTTCAAAACTTTCCTTTGAGATAAATCCTATAGTTAGGGTGGGCTTCTTATTCTGCTATAGACTTAGGAGGACAAACTGACCTCATTTCCTTAAATTAATTGTTAAAATTAAAGTTTTCTTTTGATACCATTTCTATCTTAACATGTGATTCTTGACCTGCCATTGTGTAGCTGTTCCTCTCAAACCCAACTGGTTGAAGCGGATTGTCCTGAGCCTGGTTCTGCTGAAGGTTTCTTCCTCATGAGGGAGTTTTTCCTTTCCACGGTCGCCTTCATGCTCGCTCAAGATGAGAGTTCTGCGATTGAGTTAAACTCAAAGCAGTCTGCTCCTCAGAAAAATAATAACTTATTACTTTTATATACAAATGTTTCTGTTCAGTGTCCTGAGACGACTTCTGTTGTGACTTGGCTGTAAATAAATAATGCCACTCTCATACACAAAAACTTAATCTGTTGCCTTCATCTGCCCTGAAAGCACTTGTAATTTTCATACATGGCCCACTTGAAACTGAAATGAAAGTCATGCTGTTTAATCCAAAATCAATGGTGAAGTAAAGGTTATTAAAATGATAATTGAAATTTTAATCTGTTTGTAACATTAATTAAAGAGTTTCCATACGTGATGCATCAAGGAGACAGTTCCCACCTGCCTGAAGACTGCCACCATCATCCCAGTCCCAAAAAGCTCTACAGTGACTGGTCTGAATGACTATCGGCCAGTGG